AACATTGAGAGCTTATATTTTATAATGAGTTTCATCTAGAGAGCCTTTGAAGGTCACATGTGAACTTTAAACTAAATATCCTGATAGATTTGTGATTAGGTGTTCATTTGTTAATTCAAGTCATGTCGACTTCAGTCATTTCAAGAAGGATAAAACTTGAATATTTGACCAACGCAGTATTCTCGAACTTTTGAATTTAGGAATCAAATGTGTTGATTGGAGGATATGTGGGAAAAATCTTAGCATATAGATCAGAGAGATTGTAGGGGTGCTTGAACACTTTTACTTTCAGTGAATCGGTTAAGCATTATCAGATCTTGTATTTAGGAGCTTGACATAAAGATCGGAGCACATACGGAAAAAGCATGATTTCATAAAGAAAGCAATTTATTGATTTGGCTCTCAATTAGCTACACATTTATCTTTGTTCACCATTTTGAAATGTCATCTAAAAGGCTTTATATGTATATATATATATATATATATATATATATATATATATGTATGTTTGTGTATGTATGTATGTATTTCATGAATAATTTTATGATAGGTAACTATTAGGCCATGAGAGAGCGTTGGAAAGAAGCCAAGTGAGGCTCCAATTAAGACGCTAATAGCACATGAGTGGTCTAGTGCATCTAAGTCGAAGGAGACATCTCATGGTGTTGAAGAGATTGATACACCTGATCTTTTGAAAAGATCTCCCTAATACTATTGGATGCCGGAAGAAAGTTCTTGTAATCATCAAATGTAATTTAAAAGCACATATTTTTTCATCATCTTTCCTTTTAACTTTGTAAGTAGTGTCATAGCCACCTGACCCTCTTTTCCCTCTATTATAAATGATTCTAAATTAGGCCTCAACTTCTGATTTGAAGGAAATTTTCATCCTATTCTTTTGTGGAAGAGGTGCTATTGCTTGCAATGTTCAAACCCATTAAATTTGTAGCCCAACTGAAGCAATATGATCTTTTAAGCTATGTTTACTAAAAGTCCACTGCTTATCTTTAGCTACATCAGCAGGTCCATCTACATAGAGCGATGCATTAGTGATTTTTTTTTGGTAATAAGAGAAAAATTGGTCAGGTTCAAACAACCAGCATTGAGAATTATCACTCTTAATGTACGGTATATCAATTTTCACTGCCTCTAATGAAGATATTGGATTGTGGTTGAAAGACATTCATGAGCAGACCCTTGCTCGTCATTACCATTGGGCTTCAAATGTTTTGATCGATCCATCTTCTTTTCAATTGAGAATAAACAATGTGAAACATTATTGAGGATCTTTATCATCATCGACACCGGCTCCTGTATATTGTCGAGATGTCTTAAACAGTCTTTGAAGATTGGCAACTCACTATTTTGAGTCAGAGAAGAGGCAAGTAATTTTAAATGATGAAAGAGAGGCCGACAAGAGTAGAGCTAGGCTGAGTTTGCACCAAGATGTTTCATGTATTGTTGCTTAGTAGTGAATATTTGTAGAGATAGTAATAGCTTTCAACAGAGACATGAGTGTATTTGTTTTACATGTTTATACAATTTACATTTAGTGACTGTTATTATTCTTTTAATCATTTGTTAAATCTAATTCTAATTAGTTGTGTGGTCTTTTGTTTGTTTAAAATTTTGACAGCCTCACGACGTCCCCTTCCATGAAGAGAGGTTCGGAGGCACTTGTCTTTCAAATCCACCTGGCCGGATTAAAAATTTGATGGCCAAGGGCTTTGGAACGATGATCGATCACGATACATGTCTTCGGATCTTCAAATTGAGGTACCTGCTAATTTTTTTTTAAAATCCTTTTTCATTTCCCTTGAAAATCTGGAAGCCTTTCGACGACCCTTTCCCGTCAAGGGAGGTTGGGAGGGCACTTGCCCCTTTCAAATCCTCCCAGTCGAATAGGATTTGACGGTCAAGGGCTTCAGGACATTGACTAGTTCATGCATAAACATTCCTGTTTAATTTCCCTTCAAAATCCAACAGCCTTTCGGCGCCCCCTTTTGGTGCCCCACCCCACGAAGGGAGGTTTGGAGGGCACTTGCCCTTCCAATCCACCCGGCCGAATAGGATTTGACTGCCGAGGGCTTCGCGATGCTAATTAGTCCAGGTAGAGCTTCATAATTGCTTTCTGCTGCCTAAAGATAAGTGTTGCATGCTTGAGGCTAGTATTACTACAACGTCAAAAGGTTGATGTAAGCAGCCAGATCCCCGAAGAGCATATATAGTTGCCCTTGTGATTCAAAGATGTGAGCTCCAGATAACATAGGGAAATCTAATTGATCCAAGATAACTTAAGGTTAGGATTTCCTAATTCAACTAAACTGATCAGATGTATGCCTAAGATTATGTTGGACCGGACCGACCCACAGCAACACCGGCCCAAAAAGGGCCGGTTCTCACATACTGCAGGCGGAGAACCCGCCTGCCTGGGCGGACGACCGAAAGGGAGAAAGGAGGCGGGTGGGCCCAAGGGGCCCACCAAATTGAAGAGGGAGGATGAGGTGTTTGCCCAAGGGGTAATTAGGGGATTTTGAGGGGTTTATGTGAGAGTTAAAAGGGAGTTAGGGTTTATTTTGGAGGCATCTTGTTTTGTGGTTGTTTTAGGTTTTTCTATTCTAGGACTTGGGAGAAAGCTTCTCTTCTCGAATTGAGAGCATTGTATCCGTGGAAACTTGTAAGTCTTTTGATATTTAAGTTAATGAAGTGTTTGTAAGTGTTTTCATCCAAGAAATTCGCCATTTTTCCACTATTTTTGGGCTGTTTTTCCTGGATTCCGAAATTTACAAACCAAGTTCCATCAAAGTGGTATCAGAGCACTAGATCCACAAGGAAGGGATGGTTACACGAAGGATTGAATCTATTGAAGAGAAAGTCGGAGAGTGGGAAGTGGAGTTCACCGCCCTTAAGGAGAAATTTGCATCCGTTGACGAAAAGCTTGATGGAGTAGAGGAGTTGAAGACTCAAATGTTAGGGTTACAAGAGATGATCAAACAAATGGTGGCGGGCCAACACAACATAGGGGGTTCGGTTAACCCTAACCCTAATCCTTTGATGGTGAAGGAGGTAGTAGGGTTCGTGAGGGACCTAATGCAAAAGGGAATGAGGCCATTGACATTGTCGATCATGGAGGGGATGCATGGTCCGCCGGCCCAAGGGGGGGGAAGGTATTGCCCAAACCGTGGAGGGGAGGACTACTCCACCGCCGGATTTATGAGAGACGCTAGGGCAAGCTATACTCAGAATCATCCAGATCAATTTTTCCAAGGAAGGGAGGGAGGAAGCATGCCTTACAATCAGTGGGGAGGAGGATCGTATCGAGGCAGAGGGGAGGCCGACCCTAGGGAGCCTCATTGGGGGTCGGCCGGTTATGCAAGGGGGGATCCGGTGGCACCTCAAGCTTGGGAAGGAAGGGAGAATCGTGGGGTGGACCCACGGCCATGAGAGAGGCAACCAAATGGGAGATATGGGCAAGGAGGTATAGCAACGGCAGGGTAAACAGGAGAGGAGAATGGGGAATGAGGAAGTTGAAGCTTCCAATCTTTGAAGGAGAGGATGCTTATGGTTGGATATTCAAGGCAGAAAGATACTTCACAGCGATGGGGATGA